GGGGGGGGGGGGTCATAACGAAAAAAGTAAAATAATTTTTGTAGTAAATTTCTGTCTTAAGGAAAGTTTAATGACTGACGGAAATGACGAAGAATGTGTTTGAGGCATAAACTAATCTTTTATTATGCAATCATGTGCATTCTTGTAATTGAAAAATGCAGGTGCATCATTTTGATGCGATTCTGACTAAATGAAATCTCTTTTTATTCTCTATTCATTGTTTTTAATAGGCTAGTTGTTTTGTGTAAATAGTACAATTACACTGTTGCATATGTACGCCAATGTAAAAAGACATAATGTATAATAATAACAAAATAATAATAACAGAAAATAATACCTACAAAAATTTTATCAAACAATATCTTTTGTTTTTTTTTAACTAACCAGTTTATAAAAAATGTTCTATATAGTATATCATTGTTCCTAATTTTCTTTATAAAAGCATTCCCCTAACTGATGCTCTAATTATTTTAAGCAATGTAACATTAACCCTTCGCGGTTGAAGGCTTGGATACCGGCCTGGCAGCACACTTTCACTAACAACAACTTTAACACCACTTGTATAATTTACTTAGCAAGGTTTTATTAAACGTAATCGAAACATATATTACCGCCACTCCTAGACGCACATTGTTTGCATATTATTATTGCTCGGGAACATTCTTTCGTGAATCAAATGGACAGCATTGGATTGCAGTGAATCGAATAGAAAGCGATTGAAATTCGATGAAATTCAGTTCCTATAACGATGGTGATTCACCGAGACGCGATAAATCACTTTCCGCGGAGTGATGTTTAACTACTTTGGAAACGTTTCTACTTTTGCTTTGAAGATGCGGGCATAATATTAACCCTCATGACGAAGGAGGACAGTCGTTTGAAAGTTTGAAGATGTACTTTCACTAATCTCTCATCACCATAAAAATACTTTACTTATATATTATGAATTTTTCTGCTTAAAATTATTTGCAATTTTGCAGAAATTATGATTATTACAGTCTAACGTGAAATTGACTCCGGGAAATATTAACAAAATAGTCTGCAAAAAGTAAATTCTTTTCTGAAGAATGTAGGACTTCATCTGAAAGAAATATTTGTAGACTACAGAATTTATGTAAATTCATATTTTATACGTGTAATTTAAAAAATAGGATTTATGTAGAAAAATTGTACTTAATAGATGTTGTAAAGAGTATATCTATACCTTAGATACTTAATATATTTTTGCATATGATATGCACTCTGTATATTTTTGCATCTTCAAAATTTCTCATAAATGCATAAAAATTAGAATTGCTTGTACAACAAAGAATCAATGCCTTTAATCGTATTCTACTGAATAAAAATACGTGTCTAATTTATCGATGATGAATAACATTCTGCAATCAATGTGAGAATGTGAGATCAATTTTAATAAGTTTCAATTTGTTCGTTAGTTACACTTAGAATTATCTCTGGACCAAGGAAATTCCAATTTCATAGAACTAGCAGACAGTGCAAAAATAGAAAATCGAGAGGAACGTTTACTTTTACCACACGTGTCCTTGCGATTCTTTTCCAAGAGGAAACCTCGTCTAATGTCCGCAATAATTTGTATCGGCCGAGCATTTGTGCCATCTCGCGTCACTCCTTTCACCTTTCGACAATCAGAGCAACAATGATTTAACCTTCTAATCATCTCAGTTAGAATGTACATAAAAATTAACAACATGCTTGTTTTCTTTGAATATAAAGTTTTTTCTCCTTACCTCTTTTCTTTCCTATTCTGTATTCTTTTTTGATGAAAAGATGCACACATAGGTGACGCTGTAACACACTCTTCGCTGCTTTTGAGGAAGATGTAAACTGCGAGATTAGAATTGAGATTTAAATCTGTATATGCAGTGACGAGCAAAAGTGTAAGCACACTCCGCTGATTTTATGTAAAAGGCGATACTACGACTAATTTTTCAAGTGACCCGTAAAGATTAGGTAATAGTAACTACAAGCTACATCTGATTAACGAAATGTAATAGTTCATTTTCATTAACATTAATAATGTACAGAATATTTTATAATAATTGTATTTTGAAACAATGTTTAAAGTTTTGCACGTTTCGTCAGAAACATTTATGATAGAATGTAAATGTCAGGGAAACGAAACTGTCAATAAGCACTGATTGTCCATTGTTTCACAGTCAACTGTACCACACCATTGTTAGATTACTTTTCAGTTTGATATGCTTGATCCAAGATGAAGCCACTTAGTGAAGATAAAAAGAACAGTATTATTTGTTTGTGTGCTAAAGATTTGTCGTTGTGGCAAATTGCAGAGAAATGTGGTGTCAGTCATACGACAGTTGCAAGAATAAGAAAAAAGTATGTTAGTGCACCAAATTCTTCACAAAACGGTAGACCGCGACTTATTTCGGGAAAAAAAAGTAAACCAGCTCTTTCAAACAAAAATATTAAATTACAAAAACAATTTGTTGACACCTACAAAGAATGGACGATCGAAGATTGGAAAAGAGTTATATGGAGTGACGAAATAAGAATTAACAGATTCGAATCCGACAGAAGGTCCTGGTATTGGACTTCGTCCGAGAATAATGATCAACCAGGTGGTATAAAACAAACTATGAAGTTTGGAAGTGGCTCAATTATGTGTTGAGGTTGCTTTACTCACAGAGGTGTTGGTCCCTTGGTTCGAATCGATGGTATAATACGAAAAGAGCATTATTTGACCATTCTACAGTAATTTACCTTCTGTAGTTAATTCTATTGGATATAATGAACACGAAGTAGTATTTCAACAAGACGGGGATTCTAAGCATACTGCAAAAATAGTTAAAACTTGGCTAGAAAATCAAAATTTTTCTGTGATGAAGTGGCCAGCACAAAGTCCAGATATGAATCCGATCGAAAATTTGTGGTCCATTTTGAAAAGAAGGCTGGCAAAATATAATAATCCACCTTCAGGTGTTCATGAATTATGGGAAAGAACACAACAGGAATGGTACAATATTGAACCACAAATAATTAAAAATTTAATTGACAGTATGCCTCGTAAATTAAAAACATTAAAAAAAAGTAAAGGAAAGTGGACGAAATACTAGGTTGAAATCTTAATTCGACGAGTATAATTAAAGTGCAGAACTGTAAACATGGTTTGAGATATCCATTTTTGTAAAATGTTCTGTACATTATTAATGTTAATGAAAATGAACTATTACATTTTGTTAATCAGATGCAGCTTGTAGTTACTGTTACCTAATCTTACCGATTACTTGAAAAATTAGTCGTATTATCGTCTTCTACATAAAATCAGCGGAGCGTGTTTACACTTTTGCTCGTCTCTGTATCTAGAACTGATCCAGAATCTTGGTATTATCAAAGAGAGAATTTTTTCTCTGATATTATATAATATTCTCTGAAATATATAATTTAAGCTGTTAGCTTATGTTACGACGCAGCAAATTGTATCAACAACGACTGAAAAACCACTCCAACAACCTGGCCACAAATCTGCTGGATTCCTACGAAGTACGTGAAAGACTGAAGAGATTTCATTTTCTGCATAACAGCTAAACAATGTTATTGTAGTATACCATTGTGTGTATTTACATTTAAGTCAACCTAAGCCGTCATAATCACGTTCATTACCATTGAATGGTAAATTGTATATATGCAGATATTAAAAAAAACTTATCTTAATAAAATTGGTCTTAATTTTAATTACCTAGTGCAGATAAAAGTAGAAGTCCATTAGTTAAAAAGTAGTCTAATATAGAATTTTTACTAACCTAAAAATGGAAAATTAATCGAAGATAGAATTACTACTGATGACAGTATACCTTGAATTTCCTCACTAAAATTTGCATTCATATATAAATGGATCAAACCTCTTTAATTTTTCCGCATATATATCTATATTCATTTTTTAATTCATTTGAATTACTTGTTACTATAAATAATGATTAGAAATTATTTTATTTTAGAAAATAGGCAATGCAGATTGTAAAAAATGTAGGAAGTTGAATCATAAACTGATACTATTATGACAGAATAAAAAGCAATGTTCTGTTATCGAACTAGTCGTATCTAAAAGAACAACGATTTGTCTCACTTCTGAACCAGTTACTACATGAAAAATACACACGTGCGGCATATATGATACGCGATACGCTTTGCTTCTGTTCCTCTGTTCCCCCTTTCGCGTTACGCTTATTTAACGTAAAGAGTCAAGTGTCTCGTGATGCAAGTGCGTTGCGTAGGTAATGGAATTGCAATCGAGATAAAGAGGCAGATAGAAAAGTCGAATAACTATCAAAGAGGGCCTATTACAAAATATTAAAACACTATGTAGTACCATTTTTGATAGTAATATGTAAAATCAATAAATGTAAGATTAAGTAACGTGTAATAAATGAATGTAATAAATCATAGTGGTATTAGTCAACTCGTTATTAATTTTAAGGTCATGAAAATATGTCGTAGCAGAGAAAAAGGTTATAACTCACTTAATTATGAAAGTGTAGATGAATTGCAGTAATGATAGGTTGAAATGCGTGATTGTATTTAAATTCTCAAAATGTCGACTTACTCTACTATGATTTTCCCATCGTATTAAGAAATCTAGATAAAGGATGTCGAATAATTAAATTTTCCAATGATTCAATTGGATCAGATTGTCAAAAAGTAAACATAATCAAAGTTACCATTTTACGCTATCCATGGAGTTTGAATCTAAAACATCATGATCTGGAGTTCATTGCCATTATCGGTAATTCACGTAATTGGCTTCATGCAATTACTAATTTGTTTAATAGTTTATACCTTATTTTCATATAATTTATTAGATCGATAAGAGTACCGATTATAAATAAACGATTCGCAAATTTCATCTATGGATCAATTAATTCTTTTTGCGTTTTCCAGGTGACTGTTACTGCTACAATTGCGCCGCAGCTGGTCCTGAGTTATGGGCATCCTGTTGTCGTGAAAGCTTGCGATGCTGTTCACATCTCGCGGCGGCCTGTCGAACCTGCGACCATCCGACGTTGTATCCGTTTTGCTCAAAACACTTTAAGAAATGTCTGGTCGAGTTCAATGAAGAGAAGCAAAATTAATATTTGTTTCTCTATATCTTGATGAATCCTAGTTTCCCGCGTTTCAATTGAAACAAAATAATGATTCTACGAGATATAAGAAAACAGGATAAATCATTATACAGTGGCTCGTGAAGATAATTGAACACTTATAGAGACTCTTCATGAATAGATTATGCGCGCAATACAAAAGAATTTGAAATTTCATTAGCACTGTAATGAGTAGGATGCGAATTTTTATTCATTTATAGAAAATTTAAAATTGCAAAAACGCACGAGATGCATATGACATGCAACATATTCAAAGTATAGTTATTATAAAACTATCATTTAGTTAGTATAGTTGCTATAAAACAAAGTATACTTATTATAATATACAATAATTGAAAGATAAAAATTCCTACTTAAATATCATTTCTTTAATTAGATTTGTAAAAATACGGATCTGTATAAAAATCCGTAGTCTAATAATCAGATGATACGACAATTATGATTATATTAATAAAATTTGGAATTTAAAAATGTATATACAAGTTAAAAATATACCAAAGTAATTAAACAATCTATTATTCATAATATTAGTCAGAAAATCAGCAAAAATAGGGATCATATTTTTCCTTTCCTCAAATGTTAAACATAATCTCACAAAATATTGTAGCTTAATAATATAATAAATAACTAATTGTTTAATTATTTTGGTGTATCTTGTAAGTTCTATATAAATTTTCAAATTGGTCCCAAATTTTACCAATAGATTCGCAATAAGCATATCTCATTACAGTGCTACCAGTTTTGACAAATTTCGTATAACGCACCTAATATATCCATAAAAATTTTTCATGACAACTATTGTAATACTTTTGCCAACCACTGTACGTAAATGGTAATACTTTCTAAACTTTGAACCAGAAATAAGAGAGAAAGAGAGAGATTGTGACAAACGAAGATACATCTCTCTGCAGCGATATGTACTATATATCGTGACTAAATATATACTATAATCACACTAGGATACAAAGCAGGAAAAGGAATTCGTAGAAAATAGTAACGCAACAGGAAAGAAGGCAAGTTCGCGTAGGCTAACTAAATCGGTATCGTATTCTTGCATAAGTTGAAAGTTTTACGCCGAGTTTCTAAATATAGCGCTTATCTTTCGACTTGCTAAACTGGTCCCCAGTTTCAATTTTTTGCCACGTTACATTTCATACCGGCCAGGGCAGCGCGAGAAACGAGACGCAGCGATAAAATCGTACCTGAACTCGTGCTAGAACATGGCTAAAAAACGCATGCTTCGTTTTCATTTGCGGGACGGCGTATGAAGAGGAAAAGCAACATAGCGGATTCATTGCAGAGGAGAGTGTAACAACGGAAAGGGAACCATTACATCGTCCGATATCTTTGTACTAAGGCTCAACGATGAGAAAACGTGTCCGTGTACAGAGAAAAAAGAATCAATAAAAAAAAAGATAATAAGAACAAAAGGAGTATTAGAGTTTGTAATGACGAAATTCTTGAGCGTTCATAGATCAATGTACAAACATAGTAAAAAATTAATGGTACCTCCTAAAGACTAAACGATCGCAGGCCATTTAATCCGCCGCTTTATAGGTATCTTAACGATTATCGAAAACGTGTTCGAGTTACGCGAGTTACTGTCCAAGCGATAGACAAGAAGTAACACAGACGGTTCGATAAGTTACACATTTACAAAAGTGTCTCGTCGAGATTCGAAACGCACGAAAATGACACAAACACTTGCTTCGAGAAAATTCTTCTCTTCGACGGATTTGTTTTCACTTTGTTTTTTTCATTCATTTTTTTCTTTTACATGTAACATTAAAAGCTGACAACGTTTTTCGAGAGTACAAATAATAAATCATCACTCGAGATACAATCATTGATAAGCTTTATTCGTGTAGTCTCCAGAGTATTCGGTAATCTGTACTTTTTTTTTTTTTTTTGTTAAAACTACTAATCCTATAAATTGTGGGGGCAGAGATTCTCATCAGGTAGTCAGACTTAAAAGATACAATCATTTGAATTCAGTTTCATTTCTCTTCTTTTCTATCTTTAGACGTAATAAATTTAATAATGTGCCTAACAAACCATTTTGTACATTCTTAATTTGTATTTTCCGTTTTCACATGTTCTTTTTCGAATCGTTTCAGCGTGTTTTCTGTGTCCCCACGAAATATCGGACCTCGTTTTCGTTTACACATTTTATTTTCTGTTCCAAATACCTTATATAGAATACTATTCCGCGATGTTCGAAGTTCTATATTGCTTTACCTATATATCAGATCGAAACTTGGATTCGTTTCGTTTTCTTTGTTGTTTCTTATTCCATATATTTTACACTACCGCCCTGCAAATGCAGTATATGTGTTTTTTTCCTTCATTTGTTTTTTCGTATTCTTCTCGAAGCGAAAAAATTTGTTTCCATTTTTTCCTCATTTTTTCCATTTTCTTCTTTCCTGTTTAGAATATAAAATTATACTTTCGTACTACAGAGTACTTTCAATTCTTAAATCAGCACCACACAGAGGTGAAAGACAAGACTAGAAAGGAAGATAGGAAGAAACGTATTAGTTGCTTTTTCATTTTCATTTCTTTTTTTTTTGTTGTTTGCGTTATTCGTTCTTTTCTTTTCGAACACTCGTTTCGCGTTACCATGTGAAAAAATGCAATGTAATTATTTTGAACGTTCTCCCACTATCGCGTAAAATTCAAAGCAATCGTAATCGACGATCAATCTGATAAATCGTCGATCACGCGAAACGTCTTACGCGATTTCGGCAGTCATGAGATTGACGATGCTGCATGCATCTTCACTTTTTCTTTTATTCTGTTTCTTTTTTCTTAATGGAACAATTATACATTTGTTGAAGAAAGGGAGGTTGGTAACAAAACGCAGATATCTGGTATATACATAATATGATAATAGCAATAAATTTAGAAATAATCCTTTATATACAAATATCGTTTGGTCCAAAAATTTAAGGTAAATTATTAAATGCTAATGTAATCAATTCTCTTTGATATTTTGCATCTTGTGCGATAAACTGATTATATTTATCACACAATATACGGAATATAAACTAAAGCAAACATACTTTACAATAATGTGTCTTACAAATACTATAATGATGTATTTTGAAATTAAATAACTTAACTCAAAACCTTTTCGTCATAGGTTACCCAAAGTAAGGCTCCACGATGCCAATTTAGGGTTAAAATATTCTCACTATTTTTAACTTAATGTATTTTTAACTTAATGTAAAATTTATGAAATTAAGAAGGTGAAGACATAGATGTATGTTACAAATAATTAATAAGATACAATAATTAAATTAAGATATATCGATTGTATATGATTCTTGTGCGTTAAGATACCATGCACTCCCTCGCTTCATATGTGTGATCGTAACGATGAAATACTCCGCTTTTTTTCGTTTCTACATTTCTTTTTCATTTTTTTTTTGTCTATTTTTTCTTTTGTTTACGATCAAGAGAATGACAGCGGTAGCGTCCTGGCAAAAATGACAATTGACAACAATGACATTACTTCGATTCTTCTTACACAAAAAACACAGATCTTGATCTATTATGCGATCGATAGACTTATTACGGTGTACATGTATATCAAGTATGAGTTCAAAATCTATCACGTAGTACAAAGAGAGATTGATTATGCTATTTTTAGTTTATTAACTTGTATCATATACCGAGAAATATCAAGACTACAGTTAACTATATATTTAGTGATTCGGAAATTGTGACCAAGATCGGTTAATTAGCCGGTAATCAATGAAAAATCAGATTATTTAAAAGTGGAAGTGGTAATAAGTATTGCTTGGGATGTGTGCCGGAGAGATTTTGCTTTGTTAAACTCGTTCTTTCTTTCTTTTTTCTTTTTCTCTTTTTAATGTGCAGATAAACTTTTTTTTTCGTTTTGTTCTTTTTTTCAGAAGAGAGGATTTCATAAAAATTCGGCGATCTGCCACATAAATCGTTTTTCTTTTGTTTCTTCCTTCAGGAAAAACTTCGGATACATACGATCTGTTTAAATTCATTAAATACTTTTACATCAACGTGACACATGAAATCAATCGCGCTATCATTAGTAATTTACATCTTAATCGATAGATTTTCTTTCTTTCTTTTCTCCATTTTTTTTATATATTCTTCTTCGTTCCACGTCTTTTTTTTTTTTTACTTTTTTACTTTTCCTTTTTTAAATACATCCTGCATCAAAATGAGCCTGAAAAAGTCTTATCACGAAATTCCTACGATTTGTGCGCGAATGACATTCGTGTCACTCTATCTATTCTTTTAAACATGTTGAATACTCATTCTCTGTTCTTCCGTAATAACGACAAAAAAAGAAAAATAAAAAAAGAAAAAAACGGAAAACATCGCTATCACACCCACATTCTTTTTTTTCGCAATATCAGTGACACACATTTTTTTTATAAAGATTGTTTGTTTCTTTTTCGTTTTCTCTCATCAGTAATCTACAACTTTCTCTCTCATTCGCTCTTGCTCTCGCACTTTTTTCTTTCGTAATTATTATAATTGTCTTAAAAATACTCACAGTTTGAAGAAAATAAAGAGATATACACATAGCACAGGTACCGCTGATGGTTAAAAAAATTATTCAAACCAGCGACAAAGGTTGGCTTAACTATAATATATCAAGGGTCTAAAAAAGATCCCATTTTCTTCTCAATTTTACTTTACCTCACGTACTTATACGTGTTCACTTTCTCATTCTCACTTTCTTTCTTTCCCTCTCTCGCTCGTTCGTTCGCTCTCTTCCTCTCCGATTATGTCTACTATTGTGAATCAACCAATTTTTTTTATGATCATGTAACACTTAGTACTGTCTTTAGTGCCTTATAAATGTCCACTTGGTTCTTTATGTAGATACAATATATATAATGTAATAATTGAAGCAATTATATTCATTTATGTGCGTCCAAGTTATTATGCACTTACTTTGATTGACATTCACCTATTATTCTTTTGCAATATTGTTAGTACCAACATAATGTAGCACGAAAAACAAAATAACAGATATTGCTCTTAGAAGAAACCAATTAGAGAATTTTTTAATTGTTGACCTTTGAGTTAAACGTGAACATTTAATTCTTTCTCCCCCTTTGAAAATCACCAAGGGAATTACGCTAATTATCATTTGTGTATTATTAACTGAAAGTTTAGATTTGTTCGAGACGACAAAACATCGAACCTTCCGGGCAACAATCAAAACTCACACTCACACGTCAATGCATATCCACAAAATGATGGTTAAAATTCTTCCATTTTCACAATAATACAGGAAGTGTCTTGTTCCATTGTTCCAAGTTTGAGCTTCATATTGTAAATAAAGATACCAATCGTACACAGATCGGTACATTATCCTAAAACTGTCATGAAAGTGTAACAATCACACTCCATTGAAAAATTTCCATTTAGTACATTATCATGGAAAAAGAATACGAGTATCCTTATTTCTCAATATTTTCTAACACAGTTCTGCACAGTTTTATTTATTTGTGTTTAATGGTCGATCTTTAAATGCGTCCGGTTACGTTTTCCAATTATGTGGATGGGCTCGAGGTGGTGCCTGGTTGCCCTGTGCTTGAGATGCTTGTGATGGAATCATATCAAGCAAATATTGGCGTTGCAAGTCTGCCGCTTGTCGTTGTAATTCTGCGAGACCTTTCCCGCCAGCTTGCGCCATTGCTATTTGGTAGGGATATAATATCGAGGTAAATGGTGGCATCATGTGAGCAGGAAGAGGTTGATGAGGTGGCAGGCCTGGTACAGGATTTTTTGCCAGTTCTGAAAATAGGATCGACCACATTTTTATTTTTAACACGCGATATGTAAATTTTTCAACAGGAAAGTATTTGGAAATTACCTCTGAGCAACTGTTGTTGTAAAGCAGCCGCAGCAGCGTGATGTGGGCTGAATTTTCCGCTTTCTGCCAATTTAACAAGAGGATGCTCTTGTAACTTGGGTGCTGGTGGGGTTGGTGCTAGTGTCGGTGCCGGTGGAACTTGCGGTGGAGGGGCTGGCGGTGTTGCTACTCTTCTCGTAGGAGTAGCTGCTTTAGGAACTGGTTTAGGAGCTGGTGGGTCTGGGCTAGGGCACGCTGCTTGCGCCAACCTTTGCTCTATTTCTTGTTCCTGCTGCAGTGCTTTTACAAATGCTGTTTTTAACCTTTAAATACATACATCGTGTTAATCATCTTAATAACATATATCATTAAATTTCTATTTTGTAAATTTAAAGTTTACCAACCGATTAGTATGCTCTGCTTTAAGAGCCTTTTTAACATTGGTCGTTACACAATGTTCGCATATAACTCGAGGATCACGACCTGCTGGAGGTCTTTGGAAAGTTGCATGTTGCCCTCTTGGACCTTCCTTTTTACCACCAGTCACAGGCTTTTCCCATTTCCACACTGGTGTGAAATCCGTTTTACATTGAGTACACTCAAACGGTTCTGGAGGTGGTGGAATAGCTGGTTCTTTAGTGATAAAATCAACTACATGCTCCAGACCCACCAAGTATATAAATTCCGTATTAGACGGATTTGGCACGAAGTGCATCTCCGGTGGCGGAGGTTTCGGAGGCGGTATTTGTAACAAGGTCTTTTCGAGTTGTTTTCTTAAAGCCAATTTAGCAGCAGCCTGACGTTGTGCAGGTGTCTGATTATCATCCCTTGGTCTTTCCTGTGGTTTTAAAAATAAACATTAGATTTATAGAAAAAGACAAGGTCTTTAATAAATTCGATTGTAAATTCTCTATAAAATAAAATATTAATGTTACAAGAAATACAGAAACAAAAAGAAAAGAAGAGACAGGAAGGAAAATGGAAGTGTAAGTGGATTAAATATAGAAACACAAAATGCTGTGACTGTTAGGAAGACAACAGAAAGTCGACACAATATTTAATAAAAAGTTAGATTGACAAGAGACTAAACATATACTTTGACTAGTGGATATACCTGCTCTGAAATCACAGGTGTGCTTAAGGATGCGGTGGTTTTATTTTCTTGAGGTCCAACAAGCAGCTTTGTGTTTACAAAAACACAATTATGGTTATTTACATAGTTCACAAATAATGTAGACAAGTATTTGTAAAATATAATATATACATATAAAGTGTAATACTTTGAATATTTATTCATAAAAATTCTATATATATATAAAATAATAAATGATATTTTGTACCTTACTTACTTGATGTGCTGGAGTGGGTGTTGGATCTTTCGTGGACCTCTCAGTTCTGTCTGCAGGTGCATGATAATTTGACACATTTGGTGTCGCACTAGGTGGCCTGCCTCTAGGATGAGGTGGTTGTGGTATGACCATGTTAGGTGGCATTCCAGTACTAGAAGTAGAACTTCGTCCAACTGTGGGAGGTAATAACATTCCAGGTGGTGGTGCATGTAAACTACTGCTTCTACTGGGTGCAGGTTGTCCCCTAAGCAAAGGTGGTGGTGCCTTGCCTGTCCTATGACTGGAAACAGGTACGTTACTTCGATAATCGGACGTAAACATACGTTTTATTATACATATATGCAACAAAATTCAAGTAGAATATTACCTATGAGGAGCTGGTTGTACTGTAACTGGTGGAGGTAATTTACTTGGTACTTTAGGGACAGCAGCAATGTTTTCTTTCAGTTGCTGAGATTGCCTTAATTTCTTCAGTAATACCAATTTCATTTCCTCAGATCTAAGTTCCTCTCTTAACTTTCTAAGTGTTCTCTCACGTTCAGCCAACTCATCCGATGATAATTCTTTTATTGGAGGCAAAGGAGGCATATCACCTAATAGATAGAAGTTTTTAATGTTATTAGGTATACTTATGTAAGAAAGGAATATATTTAGGCATAGTACTGAAATTATAAATAATTATACTATTTTTCTAATTAACCTTCATCGCTGTCTGCATTTCCATTCACATAACCATTTATTCTACGTTCATCAGGAGTTTCTGCATAACTTATTTCAATTCTAGGTCTAAGATTACGACGAGTTTTCCTATCATCGCCAGACTTGGGAGCCAAAATGCCTCTTGCTGCATTCTGAATATTACGTGCTTCTGGCATGTTGTTGTCCACATTAGGACTTGAAGAAAAGTGGACACCTAAATCTAATGGAACTCCTATGTCACCAGAGTTAACAGTTATCGATGGAGAATTTCTCCTGCTACTGCTGCTGAAAACACACATTACTTAGTGACAAAACTGATACTATGATAAATTTTATAATGTAAAAAAAAAAAAAATAAAACTATATATATCAAATAAAGAGTGAGGACTATAAAGAATTTCATTTGAAAAAAGAATAATCTACTTTTATGTAAGAACTTCTATTTTACATTAGTGATAAGAACTTGTTTTCTTTAAAAGGTATGTTATCATAAAATATTACAATGCATTATTAACATCCAGTTTTCATAACTATAATGTAAAACAGTAGCCTTATTCCGTAATCAGAATGACGTAAACAACAGCAACTTAATATTGACATAGTTCTCAACCCTGTATCAATATACAACATTATAATCAACCAACACAAAATTTAAAAAAAAGAGAGGGAAAAAGTCGAAGTTTCTTTCAATTTACCTAACACTCAAGTCAACAACCGCATCCCCGTCCAAATCCATGGCTTCCATTCTTTCAAATTCAGCAACTCTACAAAAACACACAAGTGCTTATTTATAACACGATTTATGTGGTTCGTTTCGATTCGATCGATTCTGTAACAATAACGACAGACACGACGAATGCGTATACACTTACAAAGGACTAGAAAAAAAGAATAAAAAAAAAACATTACAAAGGACAAGATGAGACTACGAAAGTAATGAGACAGAGCGTTTCATGATACCGAAATGATTTCAAAGCTCATAGAAAAAGATTCACAGCGCGGAATAAAAATAACTGGGTTACCAAAAATTTCCGTTCGACCATTCCGTTTCATATGCACCGGAGCATCGTGGTTCTCTGCTCTTCCCTCTTTTTATTTCAAAGGCAAGTTGCGTCTCCGCTTGCAAAGGACGCAATCACAACACCACAGTAGAGCACCACCGGTAACGCGATTAATTTCGCGGTACTTAAAACGGTTGATAAAAAAATCGTGTTCGGTTTGCAAGGCGATCGGCCGATATCCACGGAAGCAAATGTTCTAACCTAACCTCTCGTGGTATTCAAAGACGTTCAAAGGGAATATATCGGTGGTTCGAGATCGTGCACGAGGATATTGGCGCGCTTTGCTGAGGCTGCCGGCAGCACTATACACTGCGTGCCCTTTCCTTTCAATCTTTCTTTACCGAAAACTTGTATCTCGGAAGGAAGAATTTGATGGCGGTGACGAAAATCGAAGAATTGAATTTGATGCTTCGGAAGTGGCGTCTCGGCACAATGGCAGCTAAGCGTAGCGGTACAAGACTGTGGAAGGGGGAGAAGGGTGCCCAGTACTGCGAGGGGAGAGGTACGGTCGCACATTAATTATTTCTCCCCTCACTCCCCTGTCCCGGGTCTCTCTACCCCCTACCACACGAGTCAGCCACTCACCCACACGAACGGCATCGGGAACGGGCTAGAAACCAATCTCTCTTTCTCTTTTCCTCCGTACTCCCTTCCCTACAAATCTCTCTCTCTCTCACTCGTTTCTCTCTCTCTGCGGATTTTCCCGAATTTCGTCTCCGTACTTCTCTCCCTTTCCCTCACTCCTCCCTCGCACCCTTATGCCCTACGGGAAATCGATTTTTCGACGGAGTCCCCACTGCCGGCCTTGCCGACCAGAGGGACGAAGGAGTTGCAATGTTTTTGCAACGTATTTCATATCGTCCACGCATCTCGTAATTACTATTGTATCAAGAAACCAAGCGCGACCTCTAGGTAATACGATCTATTATCTATATGTTTTATTCCACAGTTTTTGATGTGATTCTAAACGGAGAGATATTTGATGATTGCTTCTATAAATAAGAAGGTCTTTTTTAAATGGTGGTATCTTATACGAATGTGATTTTAGATTGTCTTAATGGCCAAAGAATTAACTAGTTCACGGAGTTTCTCTCGGATCTCCCGCCTTGCACACTTTCCAGATCACGTGACGGTGTAAGGATCTCTAAACTCGAGAATTTATGTCAACATTTTTCATTCATGTTTTATGACATTACTGTTTTACTAATGGGGAAATAATAAATGAAGAATAAGTAATATATAATTGCATTGATATTTGATTTTTTCGACAAATGTAATATAATTATATTTTTTTTAATTTCCAGTTATGAATCGTTATAAAAATTGTCCATATTCTCTTCAATTGTATTTTGTTTTCATATGTTATAATTGAAAACTATGAAACAAGTGTAATGTGTGAATTTTAAAGCGACCTACGACAATCTTTGACTTTCTTCGACTTAACCTAATAAATGTATTCCACCGTCATAATAAATCGGCACTCTAATTTTGTCTTCGAGTAAATTACTTAAAAACGAACTAATTACAACAGGAACTATATTTTATCGCTTGTATTTAACCAAGCTCACGTGCAAACGATTAGAAAAGTAACCGTAAAAATAGAAAAAGCTACATGATCATGTAACAGTACTTCGATGTCCCGTGTTTCTATTCTGAATATATTATTCTAACATTACGTTATCAATAAAAATATTGGAATTCATTATTCCAAGGAAAAAAGTTTGAATCATTCAATGAGAGTTAACGCTAGAAGTACCACAGTTGTCAAAATTCGTAATTCTTTGTAAATTTTATAAATTTACAATGATGCATTTTTAGAAACTTTTTGTAATTTTTAATAAAGTATATGGGGATGCATTTTTTTATTTCCGTTATACCGTTATTCCGTCTTTATTTTGATTGTATAATTACGCTTTAATTTTATTTGGTAGAAATTTCGTATTTTAATCGTCGGTAGTTCTAGCGTTAATCAGGCGTGCAGTTGAAAATATCGGTGGCTGAGTGTCGAACGAGGCATACACGAACGCTGACTGGCGACGTGTGACGCCAGCTCGCACGACAACGGCGACACGCGACTCTTTATATTTCCGCGTGCACAACATATTTGCTACTACATTGATAATCGCACCTTCTCCGAAGGAACGAATGCACGGAGTATTTTGACCCCCACACATACGCCTACGCCTCTCGCGTTCAGGAAGGCACCAACGTACCTGAGAGGAGGTCAATGAAAAGGTTGATCCGAATTTGTGTAAATCGACTTGACATGCAAAGTCAGTCGACTCTTGTACATAAAACGGACGTACAAATGGGGCACAATCAGACAGGTAGAGGCTAGTGTAGATAGGCAGCAGGCAAAGATGACAACCAAGAGAAGCAGCAGGTACAGAGGCACGCTGTTAGGTAGACAGTTAGGCAGGCAAGGCGGTCTGGTCGCTTTCCACTCCACTTCACTCCACTCCACTACGATATATTACTCTATACTATCGCTTACGTACAATGACATGGCGCACACGACATACCGCAGTCAGTGTACGCATACACTTCACTTCTCTTGAGTGTCCCTCCCTATCACGAGCACACTTCACCGCCTCGCGATCATACACGCGCGATTTCCGCATGTTTTCGTGAATCTTTTTCGTCTGGCGTACCCGCGCATTGTTTTAACCATGTCCCTCGCGGCTTCCTCTAAACTGTGGCTGAACCAGCTCCGTGTTGTAACAAACACGAAAACAAAATATGTACGTATACACAGAGAAAGAGAGGAAGAGAGTCTGATTAAATGGACAGGGGATGACGCGTGTCAGCAGTAACCGCGAAAACGTTCGTGACGATACGCGAATCCCAGACACCAACCTTGAGCTGCTACCTTCCGCGCAAGGAGAAAAAATTCACACCGCCTCTGCGCAAAAATTAACGAGAGTGATTCAATATGGCGGCCTTGTCCGCCGTTGATGTCTTCCCCTCCTCCATCGCTCGTTTCGCCGGGCATCGTCGCCGTCGTCACTCCCCTGCCCCTGTCGCTGTCTCTGTCTCTGCATCGGAGGTGTAATGCCGTCGTGGGTAAAGAGGGGACCCAGGGGTAGAGAGACGGTGGTACGGTTGGGCGGGAAGAATGGGAGAGAGAAGGGAGGTAGACAGTGGATCTTGTCGCCCCCGTTGGCCCCCGGTATCGTTTATCGGGAAAGCGCCGCCAGCTACGGGGCTTACCGGAAGCACCCCACGGACTTTGTAAATGCGCTACGAAAGGGGCTTGACAGTCGTCTAAACAAATCCACGTGCTTCTGCGCATTCCCTTCTCTTTCGAACTTACACCGGTAACCGCCAATCGAGCCACAGCTACCAAGTATTGGAGGGCATTTCAAATCGAACTGAGTTCAACTTAATACGCCGCCGACCGTGTGAATTAAGCCTCGTTATGTATGATGATGATCACGCTTGTTTTTTTTTATGAACGATGTGTGATTGTATTCTCGTTAAATCTAGGCAGTTATGAAGTATAGGCAGTTTCTAATAATAAGATAATTCTTATCTTGTATTTTTTGTAATTGTATAAGACGTATGAAATAAATGTGTGATAATATTCAAAACAAAAACAATGATTTGACAAAACAAAAATTGTAAAAATAAATATGTAGAATGTATCCTTCCTTTTTGTTAACAATGGATAGTTTATGCCTATTATAAAGATATTTTTTATTACCAAGAAGAATTGGAACAAATTTATGAATAAATTTAATCATGAAATGACTATAACCATTGTTACTATAAATATAATATTTCTTAAAAACTTCCAATTTGATTCTGACCTTTACAATAATATGATTAATTAATGATTCATGATAATGCACAATGCAAATTTATTTTTCGATACTATTATCAAGAATAAGTTTCGCCATATATATTTACTTAAATTCTCATAATTATATACTTTGAACTTGAGAAAAAAGGGTTGACGAAAATGTTTCTGTTTACTTGGAATTTGACACTGGAACATCTAATAGCAGATAAATGATAATCGGATTAACTATCATTAAAATTAAAAGTAACGCTGTAAAGCTTACATTCTCATTGGGAGAAACTTTCCAGAAAAAATAAATTTCATATCAGATTATTATAAAAAAATGATATTAATCACAAGTAAAAAGCTATTCAAATACAAATTTTTAATTCTAACTTTACTTTTCCTTATCAATTATCGATAGATATCAATAGGTACAGAGGCAGACACAACACAAGTCGCTTTATGCCATGCACAATTTATTAATCGATCGATACATTTTTAAAAATTGATTGATATTTGCGAAAACACTTGATTTCTATAATCAAAGAAGTAGTGTATAAATCATAGACCGGCGTACAATTCTACGGGATGTTGAAGTTGAAAGAATACTGATATTTGTTTTTCTTTTCTTTTGCGCGACGATATTAACGGTTTTGTATGTTACAAATGCTTGTTCGGAGGTTATGTAGTCCACGTACGAAAGAAAAAGATGAGGAACAACACAAATGGGCAGTCGTTAATGATCGTGGACAATTACAGCTGCGTTACAAATAATCGATTCTCAAATCGTTCGTGACAAATGTTCCAACGACCAATTCCAGTTCTTCTCCTCGAAATATACCTTTTCAGTGCAAAAAGGTACACTTTCAGGAACACGAAGATGGGAACTCTTCTGTCACGAATGATAGGAAAAGTTGGCGTTGTAGCTTGATCGGAAGGACAACAGGCGCAATACACGAGTATTTACAAATACACATACTTCGCTGCAACAGATTACAAAACGGATCGAGGAATAAAAGTACGTATTTTCAAAAAGGAACGTACTGTATGCGAATTACTTTATCATCATTCTATGTCGCTCAACAGGAGTGGGATAGACATACAGGCAAGCGGAGAATTCGACAAAAATCGGAATCTTTCACCATTTTAATGATATTATAAAAAATGTTAAATATCTAAAAAAAAAAGTTTTCTTCAAAAAGAAAATATTTCTCAAGTAAAGATATACATATAAATTTATATTTATATAGTTGATATTTCGATATTTGTTTATTGCCCGGCTTCCCTAATTCATATGCATCTTTGAAGTGGTTTTACCGGAATACGTAAATGGAAAAACAGATAATACGGTGAACACACATGCGCGTACGTGTGTGTATGTGATATCTACATATATGTAGTTCGTGCGCGGGTATCTCTACATATAATATAATATGTATATGCTTATAATAGTTCACTTGTAGAAACCTTTTATGAATACGTTTTGTATATATGAAGTATTCTGAAATTTCATTACTGTAACGAAGTCCGATTATCATGACTACATTGGTAAAGCACAAAACAAACTTGAAAATATGCACAAAACCTACAAGTATATACATATTTCGTAAAGATCACATGGTGTTTAAACAATCAATTTCAGTATTATTTTGGTATTATTTAATGTATTATTTAAATTAATCTAAATTAATGGATATTTTGTAACTTCTATATACATTTTCAGATTAATTTCAATAATTTTACCAATACAATCATGACAGTTGTGTCTCATTACAGTAATAATGAAATTTGAAAATGTTTTATGTAACAGATATAGCATGTACATAAAAGTTTTCTATACTAAATGTTCAAATATGGTAAGCTACTGTATACATGCCGAGATGTGTGTCGACTTTTCCGTTGTCCAATAATAATCCCGCCTACTTTGCCACTAAGTTGATCGCACGAAGAAGAGAATGTTACAAAATCAGGTACCACGTTGAATACCGACGAATGTATAGTCGGCTTCGCGAACGTTCCGCGGTTACATATATATATTTATATACACATCGATAGTCGGAATACATGTACCTGGGTATTAATTGCTCCAAACAAGCGTGCCTATCCTATACACTTTCCTTCTATATTACGTTCGTAAGATAACCGTGAGGCACGATGGGTTTTCGTCTCGTTTTCCTTTTTCTGTTTCCCACATTGCCATGTGAACTACAGCGGAAACGAGTTTTTCACGTGCAAAAAACAGAGAAGTAGGACCGCGAAAGGTCGAGGACAGCGAACTTCATTTTGCAACGTTTATACGATATCAACATCAAAATGTTGCAACGAAAAATTCTCTCCCTATCTATATGACTCGTGTCGTGACGAATAATGGCGCATCGAACAAGTTCAATGCACTACCCGTTAAAAATGCTTTGCTGACTGGATTAACACGTTGACTACCGTGCGAATTTTATATTGTATTTTACGTTGGGAGCTGCAACACACCATAATTACATCTATATATACACAACATAATTGTGAATTTTTATGCGTTTACCTATAAGAAATTTGAAAGTTCAAAACTGCACAAAATGTACATAACATGAAAAAATATATAAAATGTTCAACGTATAGTGTTTTCTATAATATTTTGTAGGTAAAACAATTTTCTACCGAGGTTTTACTTTTTTAATTCTATTCTCAAAAATATAAATTTGCATAAAAATCCGGTCTAACCATAACATTCAATTTTTGAAAAATGTTACATACATTGTAATTGTGTACCTTTTTCTGATAATGTTATCTAAATCATTCACATTGTTGAAAATTTGCTAACCCATGAAACTTATCTTATCTTAATCATTCTAAAAAGTTTAGTAAAACGTGGGTCACCGATGACCACCGTGGCAGTTAACGTGTTAAGATCGACTTCGGGTTACATAGCTCTTTTGCATCTTCCACGATTCGTATCGATTCACTTTCCACGGCGTTCCATTAGGTTCACAGACTCTCCCGGTGCCGAAATGCGCGTTCTCGTAACGGTTCGCGGGAGGCAAGAATTTCGAGCCGATCGGCGCGTGCAGTAAACGCCCATTGGCGTTTGGTAGATATGGACAACGAATACAATAATGTCTCTTGCATCAAGACACGTCCAATCGTTTTGTACCTTACATATTATAACGCCAAAAGAAATGAATCTCTCGCTACGATACAGCTCCCTGAGTATCGTTTGACATATTTTGTAATATTTTCTCGATTACAAAAAATAATTACATACTGACAAGTAGATTGCGGATGTTTGTGCACTCATAGAAAGTTTAAAGATGTCAAAATGCATACAATTCATGTAATATGTAAAAATACATAAGGCATCCAAAGTATAGTTAATCGTCATCTCTAATATTTAGTGAGTGAAACAAATTTCTGTCAAACATCTATTATTTGAATTTTTCATAAACTTCCATGAAAATCCGCATTCTATTGAGAAGATGTTGGAAACTAAATAACCTCTTCATGGTTTACTATAGAAGTCGAATTCGTGACATGAGCTTAGTTTGCACACTAGACGTTCGGCAGCGAGAGTTTAACTGTACGAAGCGTAAATAACATCTGTTGTTCAGTGCATAGAAAAACGTATTTAGAAAAACGTAATGGAACTCCGCTTCATTTTCATTTTTAATCCGATATACAACAAGTTTCCTTTTCTTCTTCTCCGGATTTTAAAAACGTCGTTTAGTAAATAATAGACGACTTTAATAATAGAGACACACCGATGTTTACGATACCACTCGTTCGCGGCGCTATGAGTTTCGATTACACACGGAAAACACGAGCGTAAATGCAAAGTCGGTTTTGTAATCGATTTGCCGAGTTAAATTCAAGCAACGACCTTGAGGACTCGAAAGAAACGTCTCGTAAGCATCGTTCACACACGCACGCACACATACACATTTTCTTTGTTAGCTTCGTATCATCAAATAAAATAGCTTGGAAAAAGAAAAACAATAGCGATTATAAGTATATATATATATATATTAATACGTAGAGATACATATTACATGGAGATTGGTTCCTTTTTAGACAATATTTCGCGACGAATCGCAAGTAACAGTAAAAGGAGACTTTCTTTGATTTTCTTCCTCCCACCCTTGCCCCTGTTTAAACCTTCATTGGATTTTTACCGCGTCAGCAAAAAATAAAGTTGTTCGCGTTACATTTGATTTATT